TACCTGCACAGTGTTTTGTCTTGCACAGGCTTATTTGCACTTCTGTGTCTTATTGGCACTGCTCCGTTTACAGTTAAATGGTCTTTGTGAATAAATTGTGAATGATAATTTTCATAGTCCCACACCTTAACTTGATCCATTTAGTTAGTTAGTTGGTAAAGGTTGACGGAAGCAAAGCGGTCTAAACATATATCTGGTTTTACAGCTGTTTCTAAGGTTCCTGAGTTTGGAGATAAGTCGGTGGGCACTAGAGTGGAGTAGGTGTGGCCGCCAATCCAAACTCTCTGGGGTCTGTTTGTGAGGAAGTCCAAGGTGAGTGTGGTACTCAGATCCAGTGTACTGAGTTTGCTGATCAGTATAGGGGGAGATTGTGTTGATTGATTGAGCTGAAATCCATAAACAGCATTCTGAAGTAGGAGTTGTTTTTTTCCAGGTGTGTGAGGGCTGAGTGGACCTAGGGATGAAACAGTATGAAAATTTCATATCACGATTATAGTGACCAAAAGAAGACAGTGATAGTAAATGCAATGAGCCCAAAAACTAGAGAGCAGACTGCTTCTACAAACATTTGTGAAAGAATAGGTCTCAGGGAATTCAAGCGCGGTAGTGTGATAGGTTGCCACCTGTGGAATTGGTAAGTCCATTCGTGAAATTTCCTCACTATTAAATATTCCATGGTCAACTGTTAGTGGTATTATAACAAAGTGAAAGCGATTGGTAACAACAGAAACTCGGCCATGTAGTGGCCACATTAAATTACAGAGCGGAGTCAGCAAAGGCTGAGGCTGAGTGCACAGAAGTCGCCAACTTTATGCAGAGTCAATAGCTACAGACCTCTAAACGACATGTGGACTTCGCATTAGCCCATAAAGACATGAATGAGCGAGTTTGGTGTGGAGAACTTGACTGGCTTGCACAGAGTCCTGACCCCAACCATATAGAACACCTTTGGGATGAATTAGAACCGAGACTGCGAGCCAGGCCTTCTTGTCCAACATCTGTGCCTGACCTCTAGAAGAATGGTCAAAAATTCCCATGAACATATTTCTAAACCTTGTGGACAGCCTTCCCAGAAGAGTTGAAGCTGTTCAAGCTGCAACAGGTGGGCAACCTCTATGTTAAACTCTACAGATTAAGAATGAGATGTCATTAACCTTCATGTCCATGTAAAGGCAGGCGTCCCAAAAACTTTGGCAATATAGTGTATATGAGCAGATAACAACATTCACTCAGTTCCTTGTGGACCCTTGACTAAGATGGGAAGTATAATGTGCACTTTAGAGTGATCAATCATTCATTAGTTTACTGCAAAATAAAGGACAACAGAAAACCAACATTAAATCTGAACACGTCAATGTGGAATAAAGACCAAGTTCAAGATCCACACTTTACTCAGATCTAACCGGAATCTACAGGAAGAGTCAGTGGAGAACTTCCTGATTAAATTTATTCCACCTGAGTGGTTCAAAACATTTCAAGGCCTTTTTACTGTCAGGTTGGTTTTGAATTGTGGAATCTCCATGAGGCACTGTGATCTAAGATATATACAGGCTGTTTCTTTAGAAGTGCTTTATAGATATAAACCAAGCATATTTGGTCTCTTCTCAGTGTGATGTCAAGATCAGATTCAAGCTCAATGACTTGTAAATGCTTTCAAGCATTGTGAAATTACCATAAAGTGATCACAGCTTTGTGTGTGTGTGTGTGTGTGTGTGCATGTGAGTGGGTGCAGGTGGTTGATGTGCTTCACAGCCCACAGTGCAGTTAATAAACTCACACATTGCACTGAAGTCTTGGCTTGATGTCACAGCTGCAAATAACTCACTGTTATAACATGCAAAGTGACAAGAGTGATAAGAGGTCTCATTATAAGCTTTTCCAACAGATGTTGTAACTGTGTAAATACACCATGTGGACTCATGTATGAGCATCTCTAACATAACACACAGGCAGACATATGTCTGTCTGCCTGTGTGTTGGAGTAAGGCTTTGTCTGCCCCTGTCAGACACAATCAGACTGTATACTGTGGGGGAGGCTTGTTTTCTTGTGTGAAAAGGAGGTGTGTGAGGAGGACTTCCTCTGACTTCCTGTTTCCTGCCATAAATGGGCCAACCACATCTCTGCATGTAGAAGAGCTGGGTGGTGACCCCGACTCTGTGTCTTAAAGAGGTGGTTTTATGCTTTTTGGCTTTTTCCCTTTCCTTTATTGAGTTATATACCTTTTTTGTGCATATAATAGGTTTGCAAAGTGAAAAAGCCCAAAGTCCAGCCCAAAGAGAGTTCCCATCTCCCACAGAAAACTCTGCTCTGAACTGCTTGAAAACAGCTCGTTTGTAGTCCAGCCCTTCCCTTTAACCCATGTCACGTCACAGTGATAAAAGCTAAATGCGCCTCACATAATGCTTGCCAAGTGGCTACTCCGACACGCCCTCAAAAACACCGGTGGAAAAACACTGAGATGCAGCACACACCTCTCCGTTCCAAACACTAGCTACCCTCCAGGCAGTCAGTGGACATAAAGTTGTTACTGTGATGTAGAGACAGAGCTCAGTTAAAAGTTTATGGATGAAAGATACTTTTGTTACAGATTAATAACTCACCACTCTGAAACTCTTGCTCAGTTTATGTCTGCAACATGTACTTCTGAAAAGAAGCCTTGTTTACAGGTTTTTCGCTGGCCAGCTTAACTAGGAACTGTGCATGTGCAACTCCCAACAAAGATCATTTAGAGATGAGATGTATCACTCCATAGCTAAAACGAAGCGTTCAACACAGGGTGAAAAATATGGTGTTTACAATTTAACCATGTAAACCTGTTCTGGTACAACCCCTAAATAGGAATTTGAACCGGAAAATGAGCACAATACCACCTCTTTAATGAGATGTTTGTAATTTGAATTTAGTTTGCACAGTGAGCCGGCAGACTCACTGCTGACTTCATTTGTATGAGATAATTTGTGTCTAATACGTCCTAAACAGAATTTCTGTTTGATTCCTTTGCAGCTTTGAACAACAGTCTTCAGGCTTTACAACTGTAAGGAATTAATCAGTTTCTTTAGCTTACACTCATTTAGGGCTGCAGCTAACGATGATTTTAGTATTCAAAGCTTCGATAGATTATTTCAAGGATTCATCAATGCGTCGTTTAAGAAGTACTTTTGCTTGGCAGCGGTGCAGCTCCCCGACACCCAGTTAACTCGTGGAGAACAACAAACGCACGTGTGCACATTTTCAGCTGAGGTCTGCAGCTTACTTTGGCTAGCCTTCAACTCAACAATCAATCATGATTTCAGTTAAATGCTACAGTTGCTGTTACTGTTACCTTGTCTATGGTCCACTAGCAGAACACTGGCTGCTTTTTGTTCAGCTGCCGTCGCGCTGTTGCCGAGGCGACATAAGTTTCGTTTTACAGTGGACGGAAAAATTAAGAGTTGTTGTTTTCTTTAGCTTGAAATAATCCCATACTTTGGACACTTTCTACTTGTCCCTCCCTGTTTTCTCTCTCTTCCTCCACTTTGCAAACAGCTCCATTATAATAACGTCGTGTTCTCAGCATAAGCGCGATGTGCGACAGTAATAAATGTCTGTGCGAAACACTGTGCTGTATAGTTAAATGGATTAAAGAAGCATCGATGCAAAGAATTTGTGTCGATGTATTTTATTAATCGATTTTATCGATTTAATCGATGAATCGTTTCAGCCCTACACTCATTACTTTCTGAGATGAACTGACCTGACATCTCTCCAAGGAAATCACTCCAGGACGACTTGACGATCTCTAACTAAAGATTATGTTTTCATCCATCCATCGTTATTTTTTATATATCACATATTTAAAAAAATATATATATATATGGATTACAGTGCAGCATTATTATTATTCTTTTATACAGTCTGAGCATTGTCAATCCTAGATTGAAGGCCTGCTCAGATTAAAAAAAAAAACTTTTCCGAACTCTAAAGTGCAGTCTAAAGTCTGTTTAAATGCTCAAGGGCACTACGCTCGTTATTTCTTTTTTTTTTTTTTTCCTTGTCGCAGCGGCCCACCGCTTTCCGTTGTACACTAGGAAACCGAAGCGTTCCTAAACAGGAGACCTTAAAGCCCCCCTCTAGCCAGTTTTAACTGCCGTTTTTGGTGAATGTTCTTTCTCAAACAGAGAATGGGGGTGCGGTTAATAGTCGGCGTAATACATTACCATGAAAACCAAAAACTTACCGGCTGGAGTGTTCACTAACGATATGCTGTGTTAACATCACTACACTGTAAAGTTTTGTACACTTTACTGTCTGGCAGAAGTAGCCATTACTTACCCATCACAGAATCTAATGTGCGAGTATCCGTCGATGGTCCTGTCACGCACTGCACACAGTATCTCACACTACGTTTTATGTTGTGCTGCTGCATTGGTAAAACGGCCGCCAGTACAATGTATGTTGCAGACTTTATATAAGACGGTGGCAGGTGAAAGTGCGACGTGTTTTCGGTCATCTGTCCACCAACACTGCACACACAGATGCCATAATGAAAATGAACAGCACACTAAACCAAGAGGAGGACACTAATTATTTCATAATAATAGCTTTAATAATAGCTTAAGCTCAGGTTTCTTTGGCCAAGACTCTCAAAGTCGCTAGCTAGCGAGAGGCTGGACTAAAGCATGCTGTTTGTATAGCACTCAAAGTGCAAGGCAGAGATTTGCACCGTTCCGAAAGTCCTGTACCGAAACGGTGCGGTACGAATAAGTACCGTTACACCTCTAGTGCTTTGTATTAAAAAGTGAATAAATTAAGAGAATTGATTGATTTGTTTAATTCATTGTATTTTATTGGAGATGTATTTAGCATTGCCCTTCTTCAAGTTTCTGTTTACTTGCTCCAGTATTGGAGAACATTTATTCTATCCCAATCAACACTGCTCAATTGATTTGTTTTGTGATAATGACTTAGTTTTGAACGAATGCTGACATCTCTGTCCCCCTATGTATTTTTTTTTCCATAGAGTCCAGCGCCATGAAACTGAATCCCCAACAAGCTCCACTCTATGTAAGTATCTATCTTTATCATGATGAGCTGTATTTTCCCCGTCAAATTCTGCAAAGTGGATTTTAGCTAATTGCTGTTCAAGTTGGTGATATTTAGCTGCTCTGCTGCCTTTTCAGACAATGGCCTCCTGCAGGGTGGGAACACATAATTGTCATAAAAGTAATTTCACTTACTTTTATTGTGATTTCTAAGGATAACCAAGGGTTTTCCATATCAGTTCTTCCTAAATGGTTTGGATAGATAAAGCAGTAACCATTATCATGCCACAAATTATTAGCTTCTGCTTAATAGCAGCTAATGGTTACATATTAAAGCAAATAGTGGCAAACCCTTAGCTGCTCTATTACTAATTACTTGTACACAAATAAAACATCTGTTGCATGACACATTTAATGGTTACTGGCTGTTATCTAATTTGCCAAGAATAAAGCTGTAAACATTTTACCTCTGCCATATATATAATGTATATACAGTATCTCACAAAAGTGAGTATACCCCTCACATTTTTGTAAATATTTGATTATATCTTTTCATGTGACAACACTGAAGAAATGACACTTTGCTACAATGTGAAATAGTGAGCGTACAGCTTGTAAAACAGCGTAAATTTGCTGTACCCTCAAAATAATATATCACACAGCCATTCATGTCTAAACCGCTGGTAACAAAAGTCAGTACACCCGTAGTGAAAATGTCCAAATTGGGCCCAATTAGTCATTTTCCCTCCCTGGTGTCATGTGAATCGTTAGTGTTATAAGGTCTCAGGTGTGAATGACCCTAAACACACCTCTAAGATGACCACTGCCTTGCTAAAGAAGCTGAGGGTTAAGGTGATGGACTGGCCAAGAATGTCTCCAGACCTAAACCCTACTGAGCATCTGTGGGGCATCCCTGGCTCCCCCTGGTTGCGTGTCGAAGTGTCCTTGGGCAAGATACTGAACCCCTAATTGCCCCTGGTGGCTATTCCGCCAGTGTATGAGTGAGTGTGAATGTTAGTTTCCGTTTGAGCACTTAGGCTCAGTGTATGAACTTAGGCTCAGTGTATGAATGTGTGTGATTGGTGAATGCAGATGTAGTGTAAAAGCGCTTTGAGTGGTCGAAAAGACTAGAAAGGCGCTATACAAGTATGGAGCATTTACATTTACATTCACCAGCTCCGTGACGACCAAGATGGCGGCGCGTGAACAACGCGAGGCTCAGCGTCTCTCCAGAATTTGCAAATTAGCGTTTTTTTACCTGCTCCTCACTGGACTGTTTATTCAGAACAGCACTGCTTTAACATCATACAGCTGACAGGAGCTTTTGGACGTTGGTATACACAACTCTGACAGTTTTATCACCGATCTTCAATTCTGCCCAGAGATCTCTAGAATACCGGAGTCTGCGCACTCTTCCCGGCCGGGCGGAAGTGCTCGCAGACGGCATCGAGACTGTAAACAAAGGTGGGGTAAGCGCAGAGGGCTACAAGCTAAGCTAAAGCTAACACCGCATCGGCTCTCTCTACCCAGCAATGGCATGACATGGTTAAACAGCAGTTTTCCGGACAATGCAGACGGCCTAATGTGGAGTTTTTAAATGTAGACCTTATTATCTCCCAAGAGAAATCCTATCAGTTGTAGTTACTGCTGTGTACACACCACCAGACTCTAATGCTAAGCTTGCAATGAAAGAATTACATGCAGCCATTAGCAACAACACACCCTGGGGCTGCGTTTATTGTTGTTGTTGAAGACTGTCCTCCCCAGCTTTCATCAACATGTTTCCTACCAGGGAGCAAGACACTGGATCATGTTTATTCCAACATTGCTGGAGCTTACACAGCTACAACCCTCCCCGACATAGGACAATCAGACCAATTCTCTCTTTTTCTCTACCCTAAGTATTCACCACTCATCCAACATGTGAAACCCACCATGAGGACAATAAAAGTGTGGCCTGAGGGACAGATTCTGTTCTGTAGGACCGTTTCAAAGACAAAAATTGGAATATAATTTGCTATTCAGGCAACCTGTCACTCCCACACGGACATTGAGTGCTACGCATCATCTGTACTGGACTACCTCTCCACCTCCATAAACGGCGTCACCACCCAGAAAGAGATCACCATGTACCCAGATCAGAAGCCCTGGATGAACAGGGATATTCTTAGGGCTGACCCCAAATAGTCGAAAATGCTTCGATGGGCGGAGCCTGATTTGATTGTCAATCTCACAGTGGAAGCTTCGCATGGAAACAAGGATCATACCATTTTGGCTATATGGAGGTGCTCAATGCTCAATGATTTTACATAAAACTACCAGTTTAGTTAATATACAACCTATTACAATATACATTTCAACGTATAATGCTGTAAATAAACATGTAAAAAGAATGAAGCTTTCAATAAATGTTTTTAAAGTGTGTAAAAAAAAATCCAAAATTGTAACCCTAACCCTGGGTCGTCAGTGCACATGCCTAGTGAAAGAAGAGGAACACTTGCTGTAGAGATTTAACACTGTTATTCCTTCTAAGTTAATCACCAAACTCACAGATCTAGACATCAGAGCTTCTATCTGCAAGTGGTTATTGGACTTTCTGACCAACAGGCCCCAACATATTCGGATGGACCACAACTGCTCTTCCACCCTCACCCTTAACACTGGCGTACCACAAGGCTGTGTGATGAGTCCGTTCCTCTACTCCCTCAAATCAAATTTGCAGACGACACCACGGTGATTGGCCTCGTCAAGAACAACGATGAGTCAGCCTACAGGGAGGAGTTGGATCGCAACAACAACAACAAAACCAAGGAGGTCATTGTGGACTTATGGAGGAATGCAGACACTCATCCACCCATCCACATCAACGGTGTGGCAGTGGAGCCTGTGTCCAGTTTCAAATTCCTGGGGATCCACATCTCACAGGACCTCACCTGGATGACTCACTGCTCCAACCTGGTCAAGAAGGCTCATCAGCGCCTCTTTTTCCTGAGGACTGAAGAAATAACCACCTCTCTTCAGACATCCTGGTAAACTTCTACCATCGAGAGCATCCGAACCAACTGTATTACAGTCTGGTACGGGAACAGTCTGTCTCGGACCAGAAGGCATTGCAGAAGGTGGTGAAAACCGCCTAGCGCATCACTGGAGCCTCACTTCTTGCTAACAAGGACATCATCAAGGGGCAGCTGTGGCTCAGGAGGTAGAGCGGGTTGGTGGTTCAATCCCATGTTAGTTTCTGTTTGAGCACTTAGGCTCAGTGTATGAATGTGTGTCGAAAAGACTAGAAAGGCGCTATACAAGTACAGAGCATTTACATTTACATCTACAGATGTAAGTAGGAGAGCAATAAACATTAGATAAGACTCAGCACAAAGACTGTTTGACTGTTCAAGAACAGCTTCACCAACCCCCATCGTCCATCCCCTCACATTCAGACTCACCATCCTCCCCCGGACTGAACCAGCTACACTTACCAATTGCACTGCCGTCATTGACTTTGACACCACTGCACTATTAACTGCACCTTCCATCTAAGCCTATTGCACTACTGTACATTCGTACCGGACATTCTGTATATACTGTAAATCATTCCCTTGCACTACTGTACATACTGTATAGTTATTCATACCGTACTGCCATAGTCATAACCTGTTCATTGCCTGTACCTATCTGTATCAATACACATTCATGTAGACATATATTTATATATCATTCATACCTTGCACTTTGTATAATAATATATGATATTCTATTTAATTACTGCTTAAGCTCTGGTTAGATGCAATCTGCATTTCGTTCCTTTGTACCAGTGACATGTACAATGACAATAACGTTGAATCTAATCTAATGTCGTTAGTGGAGTGGAAGAGGACTGCAGTTGCAACCTGTGAAGCTCTGGTGAACTCCATGCCCAAGAGGGTTAAGGCAGTGCTGGAAAATAATGGTGGCCACACAAAATATTGAGACTTTGGGCCCAATTTGGATATTTTCACTTAGGGGTGTACTTACTTTTGTTGCCAGCGGTTTAGACATTAATGCCTGTGTTATTTTGATATTTTGAGGGGACAGCAAATTTACAATGTTATACAAGCAGTACACTCACTACTTTACATTGTAGCAAAGTTTCATTTCTTTAGTGTTGTCACATGAAAAGATATAATCAAATGTTTACAAAAATGTGAGGGAAATACTAGGGTTCTGTAAGTAGATTTATTTTGTCACAATATAACAGCTTATATAGTGAAATTGAGTCTGTAACTACGTCCGTAACCACGCGAGCATGGCGACAGTCAGTGCCCGGCAGCCCCCCTTGTATCCCGCACGCGAGGCTGAACAAACGAGAGAGAGAGCAAGCAGCAGACTCCAGCAGTAAGTCCCAGCCAGGCAGCAAACGTGCCGTGCAGGCCACCATGCACCTGCCGATAAAAGTCCGCCGTCCCCCCAACCACCAGAAAAGTGAAGGCCGCCAGTATCAGCCAACATCCCCCATGCGAGGCGCCCAGAGACCCCCCAGCCCCAGTAGCCAGGGCTCTCCACAATCCCCCAAAGCGCAAAGGACACCTGACCGAGGGAGAACAGCTGGGAGCTCCCTGGTATGGCTCTCTGCAGGTCATAAGGAGGCTAGAATGGTCCTGCCCTCTGGGGCCTGTCACGCTCTGCTGGTTGGCCAACCTTTGTGTTGCACTTTTGTGTTTAGTTAGTGTTATTTTGGTCTGTTGGGTTTTGGGGGTCTGTCTTGTCTTTCGTCTAGTGTTCGGTAACCCTTGTCATGTCTGTTACCACAGTGATCCCTCTGCATGTCTGTCTCTGTTTTCCCCTGCTCTCTCTCTCTCTCTCTCTCTCTCTCTCTCTCTCTCTCTCTCTCTCTCTCTCTCTCTCTCTCTCTCTCTCTCTCTCTCTCTCTCTCCCTATCTGTGCCTTGTTAGCCTCATGTCTTTCACCTGTGTTGCTCCCGCCCTGCTCGTTAGTCCCTGTGTATATATACCTGGTGTTTCTGTCTTGTCTTTGTCCGGTCATTGT